CCTTTTTTACAGTGTCATCAGGCTAAAAGGAATCTAATAGTGACACAGGACTTGTGCTCAGCACTCTGCCACTATTGCTTTCCTGTCACAAATAATTTATAGCCTTCTATTTCCATCCCTGAGCCTGCACCCCAGCCCTGCCTCCCGCTTTCCCCCAGCTCCCAGGAATCAATAACCTCACACAGCCACAGTGGGACTTCAGGGTGCAGAGACAGACGGACAAAGAGAAGGGAGACCGACAGAGGGGCAGAGAGACAGAATGAAACACGGGGGAAGGAAGGAGAGGAGGAAGAGGAAGTGGGAGAGGGAGGAGAACCGGAAGAGGAGTAAGGATCTCCCTGGCGCTTTCTTAGAACGTGGAGAGCTCCTCCGTTTCTTCAGGAGTTTAGCAAACTGTTAATAGGAGACTCATTACATGCTCTCATTCTAACTCACAGAGCTGATGAAACTGTTTTGATCTCCAGCTTGGTGGGAGGTGGAGGCCTCCTGGGAATTTAACCAAAGAAAGAGTGACTTCACCTGCCTTGTCATCTATACTCGGAAGTGCGGTCACAGCCCCCTGGCATCTACTGGGCCCCAAAGAAGCTGCTGCTCATACTGTCTGTGGATCCCTCCCAGGGCTCCCGGGCAGGGGACCCTAGTCTGTCTTGCTGAGAGTCTCTCTGATGCACCTGCTTTGGGGTCAGGCTGTGACACCTGCTGTTGCTGCTTCGGGTCTTCTCAGTGCTCTGTCCAGGGCCTCCATAGCAGCTGTACTGACCAGGCTGGACCGTGTTGGGCGGCGAGGCCTCCTGCTTGCACCTGGCTCGGTCCCTGAAGAGAAGGCAGCTGATTCTGATGGTCACCCATAGGAATACTACTACTACTGGTCATTGTTATTATTATTATTATTATTATTATTATTATTATTATTATTAGCATTTGCATTTATTGAGCCAAGTGTCATACTAACCATTTGACGTGAATCATCCTATTTAATCCTCACAACAATCCTAGGAAGTGGGCAGTATTATTATCTTATTTTGCAGGTGAGGGAGTAAGAAACTGTCCGGTGTTTCACAATAGTAACAGAGCTGGAACTCAGACTCAGGCAGACTGGGCCCAGAGCACATCCCCTTCTTCCCTTTGCCCTAGTCATACCCTTGCTAAGTTCCTAAAGTCCCCCATGCTGGGCCTAGGCAAAGCCAGGAAAAGCGGGGGGAGGAAGGGCGCATCCCTGTGAAGGAGAACAAGCTGGAAAGAGAAGTGGGGAACAGGGGTCCTGACAGGGCCATTTTCCCATGGCAACAGGAAGAGAGATGGCTGCCAGGACTCCCCACTGCTTCCCCCGCCCCCCACCCAAAGATCCTTACCTGCAGACTTGACTTGAAGGCCAGACCTGCCTGGGGCCGTGGAGGCCATACATGTGTCTGGCTGAACTTGCAGTACCAACAATGAAAAAGATGGAAAGAGAGGGAGGAGAAATGGGGAAATAATATCAGACAATCAGCCAAAGCAATGCTTCACTTTATCCTTTTAACCTCTGGTGGTAATCCCATGAGTTGTCGGGTTGTGTAGGGGATGCGGGTCGGCAATCGATAACCACCAGGTATCCATGATCCCAGTTCTTAAATTTCTGGAGGTTAGCTCTGGGGACTAGTAAGTGCCCACTGCCTGGGGGGCACGGATGGATACCAAGAGCATTAGTGACTCATGCAGGCACCCTGCCCAGCTCCTCTCCTGTGGACCCCCAAGCCGCTGTCAGGGAGTAGTGATTTTCCATCACTTGCTGCCTCAGCTAAATCTACACCAGTGCCCCAGGGGTCAGAGGCTCTGGGTAACAAAGATAGAAACTCTGCAAGGCCAGCCAGTTATCTGAGTCAACCAGCCCCAGCCCTGCGGCTCCCTTAGTCCAGGGCTCATCAGCCCGCAGGCTAGAGCCACCCACAGCAGGCCCAGTGAGATCCCAGAAGCTTTTGCTGCAGTGAGTTCGGAGCAGCTGCTTTGAGCTGCATAGCCTCCTTCTAGACTTTTCCTATAGACCAGTCTAAATGGGCCTCGGCTACCGTCTGATCTTTCCCATGGTGATCACACTCCACACCTTCCCCCAGCTCTAGGGAGATGAGCTTCCCTTCTGCTGTGCTGAGAGAGAAGAGCTGTGAAAGCGCCTTTTCAAAGCTTTTGACCCCCTCAACCTGTACCGTCTCTTGCTAGCCCCTCCCGGTGCGTCTCCTTGTTCCGCCTTGTTCTCTCGGTCGTTCTGCGTCTGCCAGGCAACTCCAGGCTCTGCCCTGCCCCCACCCCGTTCTTCCTCCTCAGCCCGCAAACACATCTGGGGCTTTCCTACCCTAAACGGCCTTCCCTCCACTCAGCTGCCAGTTCCATCCCCTGGCTTCCACACCTTCTTCTCTTCTCCTTTTCTACAAACTTCTGAAGGCACCAGTCTATTTTCACTGCCTCCCTCACCTCCTATTCACTCCCTAACCTCTTTCTGTCTGGCTTCAGTTGTTCCAGTCGCTTTGTTGAGACCGCCGTCCCCCAAATTCCCAAATCTGTGCCTCTTCTTATTCGCACATCCCTCCAGTCTTTACATTGTCGTTGATGCTGTGAATTATATTCTCCTTCTGGAAATGTTCTTCTCCATTGACTTAGGTGAAACGGCCCAATCCTGGTCCTGCCATTTCCCGTGTGACCAATTCTGAGCCCTCTGCAAGGTCAGGTTCTTTGCCCCCGCCTATGAAAGTAGGTGCCCACCAACACCCGCTCCTTCGGCCCCCTGTCTCTATCAACACTCTTTTTCCCTGACAGTCAGATCTGTGTCTGCCATCTTGACGCTCCCCTCCCACCCCAGACACTGCATGTCCAAGACAGAACCAGCCACCTCCCTCCCTCTCTCCTCCTGACAGCGGTACAAACCACCAGCCTTGCAGGTACCCAGAATTGAGGGTCTCAGAGCCGTGGTGGACTCTGGTTAGTTGCTAAATCCTGGTCATTCCGCCTTCACGATCTCTTGCAGACTCTTTCCTTTCTTTCCTGAGACCTCGTGCCTGCATGTTGCTTTACCGAGATCTCTAGTTTCGAAATCCCTCATGGCTTGAGACTCTCTAACCCTCGTTGCTGCACGTTGAGAGAAGTATGACAAAGTCATGAAAAGTACCCATTTTAGAGACTGAGTTCTGCCTCTCCCCTCACCAACAGTGTGTGGTCTTGACTAAGCCACTTAACCTCTGTCAACTTTGGTTTTCAACCTGCAAAATGAGGATAATAGTATCTACTCTGGAGGTTGTTGGGAGAAGGAACAGTAGTATGTATAGGTAATATAAATTGCATGTGATACTGGCACCTACTAGATGATCGACAAATGGAAAATCACTCTTTATCATCGTCACTTCCAAGTTTCAGCCTTATTTCCCCTTTCTCCTTTATGTACCTCCACTGTTGCTGGCTGACCGGTTTGGGCTTTAACCGCTAAGACTCACTCGGCCTCCATGCTTTTCTTCTATTTTCCTCCAGCACCTGCTTATAATGCCCCCACCCCTACCCCGCCACGGCTGCTTTGTTCATCTTAGAACCGTAGTATTTTTCACTGGGAAGGAGACCTTCGAGATCCTGTAGTCCCACCTTTTAACTTTACAGCTGAAGAAACAGAGGCCCCAAGAGGTAGAATGATGAGCCCAAAGCTATTTTGGCCGATGAGAGGCAGAGTCAGAAGCAGGACTCAGGGCCCCTGCCTAACTGCCTGCTGCCCTTTCCACTCTCCTCCTTGCCTGGGGTCCCTTCATCTGTTCAGCCCTGCCCTCCTTTGAAGGTCTGTGTGAAGATCCATCTCCTCAGGGACTTCTTTCCCAGTCCGCCACCTGCAAGGGGCTAGATTCCTCCTCTGCCTCCTTCTAGCGTTTACTGCCAGGCCCCTTGGGACTCCTTAGCTTTCTTTGGGTGTGTGTCTTCCCTCTATCCAGCTTCGTGTCCGGCACGGTGAGGCAGGCGCCTTATCTCTATTGCCTGTGAGTGCTCACTTAAACCAGAGTGGAGTCCGCTCATGGCTTCTGACTCACCTGGCTGGTTTGGGTGAACTTGGCCCACACGCCGCTGTGTAGGGAGGGGCAATGCCACGGGAGAAGTTGCTTCCAAGGGTACCTATTCTGACTAATGGGCGGAGGGGAGCATTCCTTGGTCTTGGCCCCAGCGTTGGTCTTTTGCCTCACCGAGCCGTGGGCTCCTCAGATCACTGACAAGCAGGCTCAACCCCAGCCCTGGGATGTTTGATCCCGCCCCTCGCCCCGGAGTGCACAGGGTGGGTGCCAGCCTTTTCAACTAGGCTGGTAAAGAAGCTATGATCTGAGTAAGACCCCAGAAAAGCAGATCATTGGGCCAGCGAGCTGGGCAGGGACAGGGCAGTGAGTGGGCTCAGGAAGAAGTTGTTCAGGACCTGGCCTCTGGCAAAGGGACCGTGTGATGTGCTGAAATCCTGGGGACAAAAAGCGCCACCTGTGACCCAGCCCTTTCCTGGCTATTTCTTTTTAGCTCAAGACACAGGGAAATCTCACCCTGTCCCCCAACTCTAGAGGACTGTGATACAGTCCCAGTGGGAGAGCCAGCTCCAAAATGATCTCCAGACCCAGGGAGTCCTGTTGCCAGGAGGAGATATGGTGTGGTTGAGGAGGGAAGGGTGGGCAACAAGCCGCCAGGGCAGCCCCACCCCCAGAAAGGGGAAGAATGCTGTGCTGCGCTCACCCTGCTGCCCCAGTCCTTGCCGCCAAAAACCAAGCCACCGCTTGGATGGTGCGCACCGCAGGAGAGAATGCACACCGCCTCTGCCCAGCCGCACTGGGCTGGATCCGCGGAGCCACCAGGAGGGAAAGCTCATGCCTGGTGGCGGTCGGTGAGGGCAGGGGCACAGGGAGCAGATGGATGAGGAAGGAGCTGGGGAGCTGGGGAGAGCCCTTCTGCAGGGCTGGGCTGGAGCTGGTGCAGGCAGGAGCAGGTGTGTGACGTGTGATGCTCTCGTGATGCTGTTGCAGGATCATCAGGACCAAAGTTCAGCAGCCTTTCCACCCAACGCCGGATGGGGCCGGGACGGGAGTGACTGCCCCTGGCCACACCATTGGTAAGAGGGCTCAGGGAAGGGAGGAAGCGGGGCCCCACCTAGGAGAGCCAGGCAACCCCCCCCCCGCCGCCGAACGGCCCACCTGCCCACCCACCTGAGGTCCCAGGCCCCCTTTCCCAGCCCACACTCTCCCTGCTCCTAGAGGTTGGGGTCTCCCCCAGAGACTCACTCACCAGGACTGCTCTCTGCCTCCTGCCCACATCTCCTTGCAGCTCCTTGTCTGTCTCTCTGTCTCTGTCACTGCCCCTCTCTAAATCAAGACTTTCCTTTAGCGTTTCTTCTCCCCCTTTCTCCTCCTTCCTCATCTTTTGTTTTTATCTGATTCTGTCTCCACTTGCCCCTTTCTTTCAGATCTACCTTCTTACTGCATTTTGTAATTTTTAAAAATTCTTTCTCTCTTCTCCCCTCGTCTCCCTTCTCTCTCTTCCCTCCTCTGTCTGCCTTTCCCTTTCTCTTTTCTCCTGTCTGCCCGTGTGGCTCTGGATCTGTTCCCACCTCTCTGCTCTGCTCCTCAAGGCCTCTTTCCTCTGAACCCATCTCTTCTTGATCTGTCTCTCTCCCCTCCCCTCTGTAACTCTCTGCTGCTCCAGCCTCCTTATTTACTGACCCTTGCTCATGACCTCTCGGAGACATGTCGGAGGCCCACCAGAATGCCAGCTAACGTCCCCTCCTGTAGGGTGTTCCTTTTGATGCAAGGGCGCTTGGTGCTGCTAGTAGCCATAGATGAGGCCTGGGGCGTAAGGGGCTGAAATGTGGTTATACTCCTCCCGCTGCCCCTCTTGGCAGCTGTCCCCTTCTCTCTTGACCAGCAGGAAGTAGAAACGGCTGGTCCCAGCCCTCCTGAAGTTGGCAGGAGCTGTTGTTTCTGAGGCCATGTTACAGTGTGTGCCGGGAGGGAGGGTTGGGCCAGGCTGTACCTGAGTTGATCACCTCGGAGTGAATGTTTTCACTAGTCTGTGCCCTGAGGGAGGAATTAGGAACTTCTCAAGTGATTTCAAGACCAGAATCAACTGGGAGAGACGAGCTGTGGCCTCCTGGGGAATATCACGACCATTCTTGTTTCTCCTAGAGGGTCAGAGACAGATCCTAGAAAGCCACAGCCTCGGAAACAGGATCAGTAAAGGCCAGCCCAGGAGACTAGAGACAGTGAGCTGGGGTTTGTTTAGAAGGGTTGGCCCGGCCCCAGGGATTGGTGAGCTATGCAAGGAGGGCTGCTAAGAGCTGTGCTCCCTGCAGAACCACTGAGTCACTCTCTAGATGAGTCAGTGTTGGTGTTTCCATGCATCCTCAGGAAGTGAGTTTAAGGGCCCAGCGAAGTCTCTAGGGCTGTGGAGAAGGCCTGGGGTTGACTGGTCACCACTTAGCCTGGGGCTTGACAGAAGTGAAGAGCCTGCACTGTGTATAGCCATGCTTTTCCCTCTAAACCTCAGAGGACGAAGGGGAATATGGGCTCCCCATCCCTCTTACTGCCTCTGCTTCTCTCGGCCCCCAGCCTTGGGGCTTGGGCCTGCGATCACAGCTGTTATCCTGATGGCATTTCCTCCTTACTCTCATCCAGTTCCCAGTACGGCCTCCCCTCCTGTTTCCAGCGCCTCCAATGATCCAGTGGGATCCTACTCCATCAACGGGATCCTGGGGATCCCTCGCTCCAATGGTGAGAAGAGGAAACGTGATGAAGGTAGGGAGGAGGGAAGAGGCTTGGCTTCCCTGTGCATGCTTTGTCCTTGGACTCAGAGCTCCGGTTTCGGCCCAGCTTCGCAGCTGCTCTGCTGTGAGATCAGTTTTAGTAGCAAAGCCCGGGTCCCCCCACTGCCCTGCTGGCTCCTGGAAAGGGAGGCGGGCTGCTGGTAGGGCCCTCAGCTTCACCATCTGCTCAGCAGCCTCAACGGCCTCATCTTCCTCTGGGACTGCCCCTAATATCCCAGTGGGGTACCAGGGGAGGAGCTGAACCGTGTACCTTGGGAGGGTTCGGGAAGCTGGGGGACAGCTGACCTCTGACCCAAGGATGAAAGGCCGATCTGCCCTTGTTCTTACCTGATCCCAACCCATCAGAAGATGGAGGTGTGATGTCACGTGCAGCTGACCTGGGTGTCCTTTCTCTGTGACACATGGATTCTGCCCCCCATTGAAACCACTCAGGGAGCTGGACGTGGGCCCTCTGTACTCTTCCCTATGGGAGGAGACACCACTCGGGCTCCTCCCTGGCCCTTCCCCCGCATTCCCTATAGTGCCTCAAGGTGCAGCCAGGCTGCTAGGCAGGGAGTTCAGGGGCGGGAGAAATGAAGAGGAGGAAGAGAAGGGAAAGGACACGAAGAGGGAGTGGTGGCCATGAGCTGGGGAGAAGGCGTTTTATAAATGTTGAGACATGGGGGGTCTCTTGGTGACCATCTGGTTCTCTTCTGATGAGGGAAGGGCTCAGGGCGCAGGGCCGGCAGGCCCAGACCAACGGAGACACCAGTGTCTGGAGCCTGCTTCCTGCCCCAGTCTCATGGCCCCTGCCAGGGAAACAGTAACCTTCCGGTCTAGGGAGGGTGTATGATTTTAAAGGTATCTCCCACAAAATAGAGAGAATCCTCTAGAGATGAGCCTAAAGGGGGACCGCGTATCCCATTAGCCTGGACAGTCCCAATTTATGCCTTTTGTCTCTGCATCTTGGCCAGTCAGCATCTCTTTTTTCTCTCAAAAATGTCCTGTTTGGACAATAAATCACATGGCCATCCCAAGCATAGACAAGCCCTTGATTGGGGCAGCATTAGAGGGTAAGGAACAGAGAAAAGGGACAGAAGTGAGATTCCCTGGGCCCAGGCTGAGGGCAAAGAGAGTGTGAAAGCCCTGGCCTCCAGCGGAAGGGACCGAGCATGGGAGAGGCCTAGGTCTGGCAAGACAGTGATGACCTGGTGCTGGCCTCCTTCCAGAAGCCCTAATAGCCTCGTTTCACAGGGAAACAGCTTGTCTGGCTCTATTTCTCCTTCTTCCAAAATATCCAAACCCATTTGGCTGCCACGGCCTTTGCCACTCACTAAATTTCATTGTGGTGGTTTTGGCGGCAGCCCCTGATGGGCAGGGGGAGGCTTCGGGAAAGGCGCTGGGTCCCAGTTCTCCCTGGGGCCTTCCCACACTCCCCTTAGCCAGGCGCCCTGGCATCCTGAGTGGTTTGGAAGATTCTTCCTCAGGCCCCAAGAGTTTCCCCTTCACCACCAGCCCTTGCCTTTTTTAGAGTGTGAGATGTCCGGCAGGCAGGGCAGGGGGAGGCCACAGGACACCCCCCCTCCCCCGCCATGTACTCTCTCCTATTGGTCTGCGGTTGGGGCCAAGCATGCCCTGTTTCCTGGACTACTATGGGCCATAAGAGGAGGCCAGGGGTAGGGAGGCACTGGCAGGAGGCTGTGGCCACCCAGGGTCGGGCCCAGCCGGCCCAGAACAGAGTGCTCTCCTCCCTGCAATTGATCACATTCATTGTTTCAAGTCAATTCAATTCAGTGAACCTTTCCTGTGCATCAGCTGCAAGAAAGGCTTGAAGACCCCAAAGCAGAACAAGATATGATTCTTGTCCTTAAGGAGCTTACAGTCTAGTGGGGCGTGTAAATCATGTGAGCCCAGAGAGCAGAAAGACCCATCAGATAGCTGTGTTGTGATGGAGGTCTGGGCTGCAGGCCACGGGAACTCAGAGTCAGGAGGGAGTAACCTGGCAAAAAGGGCTGCATTTAGAGGAGGGGACTGAAGGATGGGTCAGGGGCATGTTCAAGGACAATGGCAGTGTGAAATTCTATCTAGTAGACTGAGCCTTGTGACCAGAGGGTGCTGTGGTGGGGAAGATGCAGGCGTGCTCTGGCAGGGCTAAAGGGGCAAGAGGGAAGGGCCGGAAGGGAAGGCGAAGTACATGGGTTAGGGCCACAGGAGATCAGGCCAAGACCGGAGCACATAAGGAGTCTGGACTTTTTTCTGCAGGCATGAGTAGCCACTGAAAGTGTCTGAGCAGGAAGGGAGAAGAGCAGGGCTGGGTTTGGGAAGACCACCCTCCAGCAGGCTGACCGTGATGGCAGCAGGGAGACATCTCAGGAAGCAATTGGCATCTTCTAGGTGAGGGGTCATGGGGGCTCTCAGTTTCCTCTTACTGTGCACTTAGCACTTACCTCCTGGGCCTAGCCAGGGGACAAGGAGGACCCGAGGCCCTACTTCTTTTGGGGGGGATGGTTCTCTTGCCTTGACTTCCGCTTTCCCTGACAAATCGCAGATCAGGTGGAGCTGCCCTTTCCCTGGTGGAGGCCAGCACCTGTGAGGGAAGCCAGTTCTCCCTGACCTGCCCCATCCCACCCCGGGCCGCCACACACACTTGACCTGTCCGATCCAGGTGGAAGGGAGAGGAAAAGAGAGAGCAAAGGCAGACCTTTCACAGCCCTGCTCCCCTCCCCCATCCTGGGTGCCTCCAAGCAGCCAGGCCCAGTTTGCATTAGGGAGCAGCTCAGATGATTAAGAATAGGAGAGATAATTATGTGTCAAGATGATGTAGCCCAAGTCTGCAGTCGGGCCAAGCTAGCACAGCACCTGGCAGGCCGTTGCAGGAGAAAGCCTCAGGCATGGGCTCCACACACCCAGGTGTGTCCTTCAGATACTGGGCCAGCACTGCAGGCTACGAGTGACTTGGGGCGCTGAGGGGTGTTGGGATGGGAACGGGAATACATGTCAAGGGACTAGACCTCCAGGGGCGGAGGGGCACATCTCCCTCCAGGAGGACCCCGCTGCCCCTGCCAGGCTGGCCCCCCTTTGGCCCCATGCACAGTGGCATCTCTCTAGAAGTGCCATGCCCCGAGGGGAAGCCGTGAGCCTCTCTGTCCTCAAGGAAGCCGCTCCCGCTCCTGCCTCTGGGTACAGTTCGGCCTATTCTTCAGCTCTAACAATGTCACGGTGGTGGGCATTAGCGAGGACAATCACTGCAGCGTGTGCTGCCATTATTGGAGACGATCTCAGCAGTAGCTATTGGCGTTCACAGTGATAATACCCAGAGCATTATTGGCATTGGCACTCGGAATATGGACAGCGTTATTAGTATCTGCAGCAATCATATCTGTGGGGATATTAGTAAAGGGCCGATCAGCTGTGACTCTGGGGAAAAAGGGAACTGACAGTGACTGTGAGCCTGCCTGAGACGCCTTCTCACGCCCTGGCCATCGGAAGTATGGAAAAATCCCCGGACTTTCCTTTGAGAAATGTGCTAGTCAAGACGCTTTGACACTCCCCACCTACCTGAGTCCAGAAGCTCCCAGAATGAGACAGGGACCAGGGATAGATGAGGAAGCTATGTCACGAAGCATCCAGAAGACAGGCTGTCCATCAGTCTGAGAAGGTACCTCCCCAGTTAGTACCCTGCTAAGATCCTTACCTCTTTTTGGCTACAATTTTGGTTGAGTATGTTAGGGTCCCTTGAAGGGCCACTGCTTCCCTGAACGCTGCGTACCCTGGTTTATGTGGCTGGAAGATAGAGACTGTTGTATTTTTTCAGGCTGGAAAACCAGAGTCCTTTGCATTCACCCAGTTGCTTTCGGCCGTAGCCCAAAGCATTGCTGTCCATGCGTGTTGTTGAAGCACAGAGCAATTACATAACTTGTCCAAAAATCCAAATGAAGTCATATGGTATGAGTCTGTTGATCTGTGTGAGGGGAGGTGTGTTGGTATCATCCTTTGATGTGTGGGATTGCAGGGGGCCGTGATTTTGCATTCCATTAATTAGGTGCACAATGAATTGTGCAGTTGAGAGGTGCCAAACCCGTGCAGTGGTGCATTTGCAGACAGGGCGGGTTGCAGGGAAACGGCTCAGTCCTGTCGCTGCCTTTAATAGCTCCCTTCTGCTTCGGATGAAGCCGTAAGCGGAAAAAGAGGCTTATTTCCTGAGTTAGTTTCCCTCCTCGAAGTCCCCGAGTGTGTTGCTCAGGTTGGACATGGAGCAAATGAGGGGATTCGGCTGTGGCAATGAGCAGCGCCCACCCGGTCCAGGAGCCCTGGCTTTGGGCAAAGGGAGGCTGCAGGACCCCCACCCAGCAAGAAGAAGGAGGAGGAGGCCGGGTGGAGGCCAGCAGGCAGTCCCTGGAGCGGCTTGGACGGGCAGTGTGGCTCAGTGGGGAAGGGGGTGGGCCCTGGAGTGAGGCATACCCAGGTTTGAATCCTGGTGGCTCCGGCAAATCGCTTACCCTTCATCAGCTCAGTCTTCTCTGTAAAATGGAGATGGCATCAGCACTCACTTCAGGGGGACTGTGGAGAGGGCTACACAAAAGCATATAGCCTTGAGCCAACTCCATCTTGGAAGACAGGTCTTCGTCATGGGTCTGCGGGGGAGGACCTAATCGGCAGGTTTATGTTTTGAGGGGAAGTAAAGTCATGTCAGAAGGAAACTTATTTGGGCCCAGGCTCCCTAATCTTGGTGCGGGAAGCTGATGCTGGGACAAGCTCACCGGGATGGGACCAGGGAGTGGGGGAAAGGTGTCAGCCACCCATGTGTGATTGGGAGGACCTTTGTCCATCTCTGTGTGGTCATTTGCTCTGTGGTTATCTGGGTGGGCCACGTGTCATCTCTTAGCATCCAAAGGCATTTTAGATGTATGTAATTAAATCTAGGGCCCCTTCTTTGCTAACATGGAGGCATCCCTCCCTCTATCTACTGCTGTGCATTTCTGCTCTCACATG